ATTAAATCCTTTATATTTCCTAAATTTCTATTTTTATTTAGAACAGCTCCTTTAGCTATTTCACCTTCAATACTTAAAAAATGGCAAACTACTATGCAAACATTCCTATGGGAAAAGAAAAAGCCCAGAATTAGCTTTTCGATCCTAAAAAGGCCCAGAGCATTAGGAGGTTATGCTTTGCCTAACCTGTCACTATACAATAGGGCAATTACATTAGCAACTGCAGTTAAAATGTTACGTAGAAACCTCAAACCAACCTGGGTAGAGATATATGACGATCTGATATATCCACACTCCTTAGCAGACTTAATATGGGCTCCAGAACATCTATCCCAGGAAAGGAAGAACACAATAGACTTGGTGCTCCCCGCAATAAAATGCTGGAAAAGACACACCAAGAATCTTAGGCCCAAATTATCACGTTACTCAACATTTAAAAATCAACAACGACTCATGCCGGAAATAGATCCTGAACGGTTAGATAGATGGAGGAACAAGAAGGTAAATCGCATAGTGGATGTTACAAAAAAAAACCCCAAAAACCTGGCCTCTTCACTAAATTTGAACTGGAGCAGAAATTGGGGTTCTCCATTCCTTGGTTTTTTTACTTGCAGCTGAGTAATATTTTAAACTCCATCAAGGCACATACAATATTAGCATCACCTCTGACGGAACTTGAAATATTGATTCGTGACCCAGACGCACAAACTAAGAGTTTAATATCAAAAATCTACTCAATACTAATCCACCAAACCTGTGCCAAGTCCTTACCTTACCAAAAAGTATGGCAGAATGACTGCACGGAGTCTCTTAATGAGGATGTGTGGGGAAAGTTTTGGAATTCAACCAGCTTTAAAACTAAATCTATAAATATACAGTTCCAGAATTTAAAAATAATGACCAGGTGGTATGTTACACCCAAGAAGCTATCTCACATAACCCCTACTCTATCACCACAATGCTGGAAAGCTTGTCTCCAAACAGGAGATTTTGCCCACTGCTGGTGGGATTGTGAAAGAGTGAAGAAATTCTGGAAAGAAGTATTAGCAATTATTCACGAGATCACCAAAACGCAAGTACCGTTCAAACCGGAAACTTTATCCTTAAACACCTGGCCAAAAAAATCTACTTAACAGACCTCATAAAGAGACCATTGAAGTCATGCTGGACACAGCTAAAACGACAATAGCATCATTCTGGAAAGATGTCAGGGCTCCAACGCTAGATACCTGGTTCCGTGAATTATGGAACCACTTTATTATGGATGCAACTACAAACAAATTACATTACTTCTCCCACATGATAATCTCTCAGTTTTTATGGGAAAGTGGTTTCCAATCTTGGATTATTTGTCTCAGCAGCAATATATATCCTCTCAGTGGTCTCAATTCCACAATTGGATTTGAAAATGCAAAGTGTCATGTTTGGTTCGTGATGTAAAATTGTTACCTTACACTCGCTTTTTTATATTTCTTGGTAGCAGGTATCAACACTCATTTGTTGTGCCAGGCCAGTATATGTTAAAAGTGAAAGCTCAATATAGGATTGTCTGTATACAAGATCATAGGATGGTAATATAGTGAAGAATAACTTTATTCTTAGTCTATGAAAAATATATACAAAAACAGAGGATTGTCATTAATCTTTCTTGTTCTAATATTCAGTGTTATCTATGTTTATTGTTTCTGAGCACTTCTATGTAAACTGTTATTTCTTCACTCTGAAAAAATAAAAATAAAAATTATAAATAAAAAAACAAAACAATGGAGGCCCAGGTAGCAGCCACTGCCAAGGCGGCCTTCTACCATCTACGGCTGATTAGGCAGTTGGTTCCCTTCCTTGAACGCAATGGCCTAGCAACAGTGATCCATGCAATGGTCACCTCGAGATTAGACGACTGCAACGCTCTCTACATGGGGCTGCCCTTGTCCCAGATCCGGAGGCTGCAGCTAGTGCAGAATGCCACAGCCAGGCTGCTGATGGGTCTCTCTACATGGGACCACATCCAGTTTGTGCTGAGGACACTGCACTGGCTGCCTATAGCATACCGGATTCAGTTCAAGGTGCTGGTTTTAACCTTTAAAGCCCTATATGGTCAGGGGCCTGCCTACTTGAGGGTCCACCTTTCCCCACATGTGCCCCAGAGAGCACTGAGGTCAGGGTTGCAACACTGCTTCACCCTCCCTGGACCGAAAGAAACCAGGCTGAATATCACCAGAGCCAAGGCTTTCTCAGTGGCAGCCCCATATTGGTGGAATGAGCTCCCAGAGGACATCAGGGCCCTGCGGGACCTTTTACAGTTCCGCAGGGCCTGTAAAACAGAGCTCTTCCACCAGGCTTTCAATTAGGAGCCGCCACTGATGAATGTGCCCTGGAATATCTTCTGGCCTGAGACCTTGCTGGATACTACTTCTATCACTGGGTGTGATTTGGATTATCGCCACCATCTGTTGGTTTTTATCTGTAACTGTTACTATTTTAACCAGTCTTGTATTTTTAACTGTTTTATCCCTGTATTATTTACGTTATTTTAACCCTGTTGGTCGCCTTGAGCCAGCGTGTCTGGCAAGGCGGGATATAAATAGAAATAATAAAATAAATAATAATAAATAAATAAAGTTACTAGAGTAGGTTTGCCAGACAGTTTTATCCTAGTTCCCAAATATTCTGCTTGTAGTCCTTGTCTATGTGGTGGATTCAGATGAACAACTAAGCTGGTGACAGAGGCTGTGAAGTCACCATAAGGTAGTTACCCTTCTTCCAAAAAGTTTAGAACAACGTATATGGTTCTCATTTTTTCCCTTCACAGAAACCTTCTGAAGCAGATTAAGCTGATGCAGTCAGTATGTATTGGAATCTGGGTCTTCCTGGTTGTAGTCTTATATTCCAACCATTATACATAGTGGCTCTCCAGCTACTGTGTGTGCTATGTAGATAAATGTTGTACTCTTGCATGGAATCTATTATTTCTATGCAAAAAAATGTTCTTTCCATCTTAGATCGAGATGGGAAGCCATGTTAGTCTGTCTGTAGCGGTATGAGCTTTTGTGAGTCACTGCTCACTTCTTCAGAGAATTAGTGTTCCCTCTAAGCTGAGTTAGTGTGAGCTAGCTCACAGTTTATTAGCTTCTGGCTCACACATTTTTGTCTTAGCTCAGGAAGGATGGCTTCAGAGCAAACTAATTTATGCAGTAGCCAAATTGCTCGCTCACAACTTTAATGCCAGTAGCTCACAGAGTAGAATTTTTGTTCACAGGACTCCACAGCTTAGAGGGAACATTTGTGAGTCCATCTGTCCTATATATTGGGAAGTGGAGTGTTCTACTCTCTACACTGGACAAACAGACCAGTCCCTTCTACATAGAATTAATGGACATAAGTCTGACATCAGAATAAAGGTGCCACTGGACACAGACTTTGATCAGAAACCACAACATTCAAAAACCAGTGGGGAAACATTTTAACCTTCCAGAATACTCAGTTGCTGACCTAGAAGTAGCAGTTATCTTACAAAGGAATTTCAAAGAGAGATTAGAAAGACTGCTGAATTGCAAATAATAATGATGCTCAAGACAATGCATCCATCTGGATTCAATCGAGACCTAAGTTTCCTGTCTCATTAACCAGTGCTGATTCTCCACGTATACTACTCTCTGTATATCACACGTAATCCAGTCACATTTATTGTCATTTGCCTGCTAATGTAATTCAGCATCTGAAATCACTCCACTTTCCAATATATAGGACAGATGGACTCACATTCTAGCTGCATCTGAAGAAGTGAGCAGTGACTCACAAAAGCTCATACCCTACCACAAATGTTGTTAGTCTTTAAGGTGCTACTGGACTCTTATTCTTTTCTACCCTCCATCATCATCCTAAAGCTGGTGGCCAATTTTGAGACTCCTAGCTTTATTTTCTGATGAGTTATGCCTGCCACACAAAAAACCCTTTAGCTTCTACTGCAGATAGCATTGGGAGGGCTTCTCACAGGCTTCCCAAGTACTTACCGTGATTCGGCGGGGGACATAGACGTCTACGCAGGATCATTCCCATGGGGACAACAGACGCACCGCACCATGCCATTGCCAGGAAGTGACGCCAAGCAACGCTCTGGCAATGGGGCTGGAAACTCGATGGTACCATCATTGCCAGAGCATCGCCCAGTGTCACTTCCTGGTGATGGCATGCTGCGTTACAGGGAGGAATGGTCCGGCCGGGGAGCATGTTTCCCCCACCGGATCGCAGTAAGTACTTGGGAACCCTAGCTTCTCAAAATAACATGAGCTGTGATGTTCCAATTTGGTGTAGTGGTTAAGTGTGTGGACTCTAATCTGGGAGAACCAGGTTTGATTCCCCACTCCTTCACCTGCACCTTGGGCAAGCTGTAGTTCTGATAAGAGCTGTTCTTGGAAAAGAGCAGTTTCTGTCAGAGCTCTCTCAGCCCCACCTACCTCACAGGGCGTCTGTTGTGGGGAGGGGAAGGGAAAGGAGTTTGTAAGCCGCTCTGAGACTCCTTTGGGTAGTGAAGGGTGGGGTATAAATCCAATCTCTTCTTCTTCTTCTACCTTTGTGGCTGGCACTGCAACTTCCATAATCATCCTGGACCTGCTGGCCAATTTTGAGTCTCCTAGCTTTATTTTCTAATGAGTTATGCCTGCCACGGATGAATGGATAATCATGCTCTTTTATCAGAGCCCCCATTTTCTCCTCAATGGAGATCCAAAATGGCTTACGTTGATCTACTTTCCTCCACTTTATCCTCACAGCAGTCCTGTGAGGTAGGTTAGGCTGAGAGTGTGTGACTAGCCCAACGTCACCCAGCAGAGTGGAGATTCAAGATTTGATCTCTCAGATACTAGTCCTAACCATTATACCACATTGTATCTTAAACAACCCACCAAAATGTGGTTCATTCATAGGTATCTCTCTCTCATTATATGTCAACTTGATAAACCTGAGTTTAAAATTATGTTTGTTATTTCTCTTTTTACCTCCAGCCTCTCACTGTCTTTGAGGCCCACTTCCTGAGTGCAGCTGGAGATCTGCTTGACCTAATTCCTTCCTTATTCTCACATTCAGCAGAGGTGGACTATAATGTTTTACTAGGAGGCCGTGTAAGACACCGATGGGATATGGGTCATTGCTCAGCTCTGATCAAGGTGAGACAAACAGTACTTGTTCTCTTTCTACCTTTAGAAAGAGTCATCACTTATTCATTGTATTTGTGAACTCCATAGATAGGGATGAGCATTTAGATAGATGCTAATCAGAATCTAGCCCAAACAGACCAAGTTGGTTAATGTAGTTGTTATAAATAATCTGAACAGAAAGATTAACTACGTTAAGAAATAATGAAGGAATGTTGTTAATTCTGAGGAATTTCATTGCATCAAATGTAAGTCCTTAGGATACACCCACTGAAATAAAAACATTTTTCTGATGTATTCTAGGTGCTTCAGACACAAGTGCCTGAGTTGTAATGGGAAAATTCCTGGTGTGTATGTGTGAGTGAGTGAGTGGGGGGTCTGAATGATGCCTCTTAGCCTAACCAACAGCTGAGAGGAGATGTTTTGACACCCCCCATGCGAAATTTCTTTGTTGGACCCAAGGGGGTTGTGTTTGCATACATGGGCCATAATGGAGCAGCCTGGCATCATGGGGTGGCCCACTCAACTCTAATAATGAGCCCTTATGACCCACCTAACTGAGCTGTGCACCCCTGTATGTATGTATGTCAATTACCTCTGGCTACTCTCTCCTATTACTGAAGTAGCCCTAATAATCCTGGAGTAAATGGCAGACATGTTGTAGCCACAGTTACTTCTGAATGATCTCTAGATGTTAGAGGCTGGACAGTAATTTGAATCAAAGTTCATCTGGGTAAAAAACAAACAGCAGATAATCTGAAGTATATCTTTTGCTTAAAAGGATGTTATAAGAAGCAGCAAAATAATTATAGAGAATGTCCTTGTAGAGGAAAATTTGAATTTGTATACATGAATATTTATGTTGTAAACATGACATGTAATTTAACCATGTGTGTATGTAATTATATACACACACATGAGAGAGAAAGAATTCATTTAAAATACTGCAGAGTTAAGATCCCACTATTAACTACTTTCAGACAAATAGTTGAAAATGTTGGTGAACAAAATTTAACAGGAAAAACATTAACAGGAAAAAACAGACTTCTACAAGACTTTGACTGTTTTCATGTGTACTCCCATTAGAGGGACAGAATTAATAGGCTTGATTGACTTTATCATTGTAATGGTCTGCGGTGATATGCCTCATCTGATGACCAACAACACTCAGTCATTGTCTATGAAACAGCTTTATTCCATAGAAGACCACACCAAGAGCGGAGAGCAAAGAACAACATCACACACCTGAAAGTCGGCTGACCCTCAGCATTCTAACAAGTTAAATACGTCACATAGAATGGAAAGCCAACCACTTAAAGATACACACACATATCACAATAATACCATTTACCAAACAGGATGTTGATTGCAGCTGATCGGATTCTAGGTACAGCAGTTTTTCCCCTCTATTTCCCTAGGTCCTTCCTGGATATGAGAACATCTACTTTGCTCATTCCAGCTGGTTCACATATGCAGCTACACTGAGAATATATAAGCATTGGGACTTCAAGATTGATAATTCAGAGACAAGATCAGGCCGTGCCTCTTTCAGCAGCTACCCAGGTAATTAGATGTATGAATAGAGTTCCAAGTCCATTGTAGTAAAATAAAACAGAAGTCCAGTGGCACCTTAAAGATTAACAACATTTATTCCAGCATGAGCTTTCTAAGTTTCAAAAAAATGTAAGTCCTTAAGGTGTTGTGGGACTTTTGCTTTAATTTACACTACAAAAATATCAATAGGTTTAGCTGCCTTGTGTTTCTGTGTGTGGACTGTACTTTTGTATGCTAGGCCCATATTCCATGTGAATGAGCCCATTTTGCAAACACACAAACAGCCGATTTATTTTTTTAATTGATTATTTAATAACATTTCTATCCTGCCTTATTTCCTTGCATTAGCAGTAGGGGTGGGCAAAAAAATTGTTTTTTCCCCAATTTGGGTCTATTGGACCCAAAAAATACCGGTATTCCTGAATATTCCTGAATACCAATATTGGTTTTATATTGGAACTAGGAATAAGGCCCATTGTGGAAATAAATACAATGAGCGCTAGAAAGAGGCTCTGGGAGAGTGCCAAGGCTGTGGGCACTCAGAATCAATTTGCCATGGCAACCTAAGCAGGGTATAAGGACACAGAGACCACCATTTTCTCCAGGGGAACAGATCAATGCCATCTGGAGCAGTTGTAATTCTGAGTGATCTCCAGCTCCCACCTGGAGATTGGCAACAGTGGTTCCCCATTACAGAATGGCTGGTTTGGAGGGCAGAGTCTATGGCATTGTACCTGTATGAGGCCCAACGCCTCCTCAAACTTCACCCTCCAGGCTCCATCTCTCAAATCTCCAGGATTTTCCCACCTGGAGTTGACAACCCTACTTCCCAGCCAAGCATCAACCTACCTTCATTTCCCCCTCATTGATCAGCTTTCCATCTCCCCCTCAGCAGCAGCCCCCACCATGCTCTGAAGCCCTGACTGCCACATAACTTTGGCTGTCATGGGGGGGGGGCAACTCAGCAAGGTATAAGGACACAGAGTCCACCATTTTCTCCAGGGGAACTGATCAATGCCACCTGGAGCCCAGTTGGAATTCTGAGTGATCTCCAACCCTCAGCTGGATTTTGGCAACAATGGTTCCCCATGAGGGAATGGCTGGTTTGGAGGGCAGAGTCTATGGCACTGTACCTGTCTGCAATGTTCCCTCTAAGCTGTGGAGTCCTGTGAGCAAAAATCCTACTTTGTGAGCTACTGGCATGAAAGTTGTGAGCCAGCGATTTGGCTACTGCATAAATTAGTTTGCTCTGGAGCCATCATTCTTGAGCTAAGACAAAAATGTGTGAGCTGGAGGCTAAAAAACTGTGAGCTAGCTCACACTAACTCAGCTTAGAGGAAACACTGCCTGTCTGAGGTCCCATCTCTCCTCAAACCTCACCCTTTCCAGGCTCCATCCCTCGAATCTCCAGGAATTTTCCACCTGGAGTTGGCAACCCTATATCCTTCCCAGCCAAGCATAAACCTACCTTCATTTCCCCCTCACTGATCAGCTGTCCACCCCCCTCATCTG